GGAATAATTACTTGATCCAATACTAAATTCTCTGAACTAACACTACAAAAATTGTATGATTGACAGTAAGGAGAATTACAAATTCAATCTGGGAGATAAAGGGTAAGAATGTACGATTCTTGTTTATGATCACCAAGTGCAGCTTTAATGGCTCAATTCCAATTTTGTTCCCTTGACATATTTACCAGCAGTTTTAACATTTTGCAGTCACTCTGTTTTTTTAATAATTTCTCAGAAAGATGCTAGCACACTGTTGCTAAATTAACACCCAGATTGAAATGGTTCTGTGTCACAAAGCTAAATATAATGAACATAATAAGAATGATCTTAGCACCTCAAGCAGTAAAGTGTTCATTTTAATCAAGCAAAGTGGGCTTAAAGTAGTAAGCATAAAAGCTCTAGATGGAGACAAACCTCATTCATAGCCATCTGCCTCTCAGTTGCTGTTAAGTCATGCAGAGATATTTCCTTCAGGATGACAAGTGAGTCATCATCCTTTTTCCTGTAAAGTACAGCTGCACCATATGCTCCTAAAAATTTCAAACAAAGGTATATGTTATACCTTCCAACTCAAATACATTAGGTGTGTTACAAGCCTGGCACTCAAAATGTCCACCACTACCTACTGGGGCCAAAATCACTCCTACTTGTTCAACACACACTCTTTAACATTCTTCAACAAATGACATAAACTAAAATATTAAAGCTAAGGTAACAATGGGAGCAAAATGAACATGCTTGAAAATTGTTGGAACCTGTCTGAAGTCCTTGAATACTCTTCAAAATTTTGGTATTGTGGATGTGAAATTCACATGCATTTGTCTTAGGAAAAGTTTGCATCGTAACAAGTGATTTGACCTTTTCCTACTGTTCTAATCCTTTCAAAGTTGCTTATGTCTTGCTGCTGTACACCAGACCATCCTCGCATCTTTTCTTGTTTGAAGTAAAGTTCCCCAGGATGTAAGTTACTATATAACAGACAAAGATGGCTTTTAAGTGCTAGATATGTGCATAAAATTACAACAAAAGTAAAAATTTATACAGACAGTATATAATAATGTTAATACCATTTGCTAATTTTACTCATGGTTCAAAATATTTAATGTTTCACTTGAGTTTTCTTTATTGTGCGCATAAAAAAATTTGGTGGCCACAAATTATAGCAGGGATTTTTTGTCAAAATGTCTGAGATATGATTTCAGTTGTACAAGTCATGTAGATACAGATTTCAAACCAAACAGAAATTAAATTTGCCAGTAGGTACATCATGGTGTATTCCAGTGAAATATTAATCTACCAAGATGATAGATACATATTAAAATATGTTAAATCAGTGATAATGAAACTGGGCAGAAAAGCTTCCTTACTTTAACTCATCCCCTTTGATCCTGAAATCTGTGCCCATGGTCTCCTTAGTCATCCCTACTGCAACCTGAAAACAATATACAACAGTGTAATCCACATTTGATCACGGTTTTCATTCCAGATGTAACAATAAGAGACAAGTGTAAAGTAAAGACATCTAATAAGATGTTTTGGTGTGCAATATTGTGGAATATTTTCAATGAGTTGTGCCGTATTTTGACAAGCCTGCAGTGCAAGTCAAAATACAAACGAGATAAAATACTCAGTGATATTACACACCAAAACATCTCGTAAGTTATTTATTATCCCACTGCTTTTTTAATCTACAATTTAAATAGGGCTGGAAAAGTGAAACAAATAGTGAAGAGGTTTCTGATACTTCTTATTAAGTAATGCTTGCATAGGATCCCACATAAAATAATCAATTGTCCATTTATCTAGTAACTACTCAATATTGCAGGATATTTGTACTTGGTTTGTGAGTTTCTTTTTCTCTACTTGGTTGAGCTGGATAACAATCAGAGAATACTCTTCTGTTAATCCAATTAATCATAAAAGTCACAATTCCCAAAAACAACAAATATATACAGCTATTTCAATTTACGTTGTCGGATCAAAGCTTCAAGGGTACGGGACAAGACCGAAAGGTGGTATGGGTAGATTATAATTAATTTTAGGCTTTCGGGGTTGTAGGCTTGAGGCTTTGATCCGACAACGTAAATTGAAATAGCTGTATATTTAGGACAAATATCTGTGGTAAAGACAATGTCTAAAGCAAAAAACTCCACTTTGGAAATTCCACTGTTGTTTTCTTTAGGATGAGTAGTTGTTGCTATTATGGTTATCATGATCAATTATGTGAATAGTGGATTTGGTGGGTTGGACTTAGTATGATTGGCTGCTTCAACTGTCCCATTAGAGGCGTCCAATTACAGCCAACTGTACAATTACACTGTTTGATTATAACTGTACAGAATGATTAGTGAAAATAAAGCAGCTAACGCACCAATCACATTTGAGGAAGTTGTAAAGTTTAACCTTTAAACTACCACTAGTAGCCAAGACAGAATTTCTCCTTACAATATCATTAAAATATCAAACAGTCAAGTGAGGAGATAAAGGAAAATTTCAGTGAGGGGATTATAAGTTGATCCAATACAAAATTCTACACTACCATGATAAGAACTGTACTCAAAATTTTTATTTTAAAATTTCACATTCGAGAATACTTTGGATAAAGATGATGATGACCTTTATTTAAACACCATAATATTTTATGCCACAACCTTGTGGGGTCATATGAAAAAAAAGGAAAATTACGTGTTATGTAAATATAACTTAAATTTGAAAATTGAAAGTGATATATATATTATAACTTCTAAGTAAAAAAAATATCAGTATATACAAGAAAGTATGTCAAATTTTAATTCCTTACAATAGTCTGTGTTGAGTGAATGTTTTTTCAGATTATTGAGACTCAATAATCCAACACCTTGTTGATAGGAGCAAATAGTGTTCCATAACACAGCGCCGTGATATTTAAATAAGTCTTTCAAGTATCTTGTTTGGAACCTGGGTACTGTTAAAAGGTCGCATTCCCTCAGAGAGTAACCATTTGTGCAACCTTTAGGGATGTTTTCAGACAGTGAGTTGGGGAGAGTGGCTTTATAGCCTTTGTAAAAAAAGCTAAATTTAGGAACTGACATATCTGGCAAGACATTTTGAATCCTCAAAAAATTTGGTCTTTGAAAGGAAGTCATGTCAGTCAGTTCCAAATAATAAACAGGTTACTACATCTGCTTATCATGCTCCATTATGACTTTTATTTAGCCTTTTTACACCTATCCCAAGCACTAAAATAGCAAAGGATGTTAACTTACTTGTGTTAAGCCTTCCAGCATCTCCACAATTTCTTTTGCATCACTGCTGTGAGAGAGCGGACAAGCAAGGAAGTCGAGACGGGCACCAGGTGAATCAACATCCAAACAAAGTTTGACAATTTCCACGAAGAAATTCTGCAATTCTTTAAGTTCTTTGACAGCATGCAGTGAAATAACCTTGGTAAAAATATTATGTTGTGTAATTATCATAGATCCACTGAGCATACAATTAAAATTTAAGCTATGGTCACTAGTACTGCTATTTCAGTCATTAGAAGTTGTTATGATCACCACATGTTAGTTTCCAAATTCCTTATAGATTTAAAAAAAACATATTTTCAATATCACATTCATTGAGAATATTCCCATTTCGGATAAAAATAGCATGATACACTCCCACACTTTGATCAAAATAAAATAAATAACATCACGACTTCTTACCGAGTGTCTTTCAGATCGTGTTGAAAATGTTTTTTTTTTTTTTCAATACCCTCAAAACAGATAAACAGACGAGCAAGACATTAGTTTGAGAGAGCAATTTCAGCTGTCATTAGAATATTAGCTGAGTTCTTCAAAACCCCAGCAAACTTCATTACCATTTTGATAACGCTTCCGGTGAGCTCAATACATAACTAATAAAAATAACGTTTCGCTTTTTGTATCAGTTATTTTTTTTAATCCTCTTTTGGAGAGGGATTGACATTTTTTAATTCCAAAAGATACAAAATAAAGATTTCGACTGAAAACAGCTCGTGTTTGACATGATTTTTAAATATAATCAAGAAAATTGTATCATTTCTCGTTACCTGATCGTCGTTTGCACAGATGAACATATTGCTTCCCTGTCCGTGAGCCATGAAAGCAATGCTTTCAGCTTTTCGTCCAGCTAAAATATGTTGAGCTTGAGTTAGAAGTGATTCAAGCGTTGAACTGTCATATTTGTAGGGAACGAACAAAACAGATGATCGAGCAGCCGAGTTAAGAACGGTGGAATGCCGCACTTTAGAACTCAAGAACACAACTCGCCAAGCTGGTAGAGAAATAGCGCTGTTGGACCGACTGTGGTTTGTACCATCCTGTCTATCGGAAAGCGTGTTTTCTGCATCATTCTGAGTTTCATTCTCATTTTGTGCCTCCTTTGGACTTGAAGCCATTCCTTGTCTCACATCATAGAGACTCGAAGGAAGTCTGCATAAAGTTCCTATTCGAGATTGGTCGCATGATCGTGGTTTTGGATCTCACAGTCCAAAGACACTATCCCGATGGTATTTCTCTTCAGCTGATCAATACGAACTCCCTACCGGTCCTTGAAACTCGTGAAAAATCAAAGAAGATCTTCCTTCTAGGTCATTATTGGAAAAACAATATTTTTTTGCCAAAGTTTCACTTTAGAACCGTCGACAAGTCAAGATGGCCGGAAAGGGGCAAGCCAGATACTCACGAACCGTCTAGTAGATCAATATAGCACTGATCAGCTCGTCATCATCGTTTCCCAACATTATACAATATAAAAACGGTTACACGGTTTGACAGTGGCCAACAGCTCAAACACTTTTCAATATGTATGTTGTTTTGTTGTAAGTGACTGCCACCGGCCATCAAAACAATCAATTTTCGCTCCAAGACTACCAGCACGTTCGTATGATTTGTTCATCGTCGAACAAGATCGTGAAATTCTCGGAAAGATTCGGAAAACGTTCTTTTCGTCCGAAGCTTGTTGACCGTTCGTGACGCGTCTTGAGGTTGCATTGAGCTCGTGCTAACTTGAATTAAAGGTCACGTTAAGTCTCTTTCTCGAAAGGAAAGCTTGATAATAGGAGAGAATATCAATGTAGGAAATTCTAATTACAATCATTCTGCAGCTCAGCGGTCAGGTTGTATGGTGTGAGAACACACTGGTGCGAGATTTGACTGTCATCAAACTACATGAATGCAGGACTTGCAGGTGTCAAAAATTGTATATTTCAAGTTCTAGAACTTTCCATTTCTTCGGTGCAAAAAAAAAATGTGGAAAATCTGGACAAGAGATTCCATTAACAGATAATTTTCGTTCAACACGTCACGTACGCAGAACTTGCAGAGCAGTCCGTTGAACCAGACTCAACTTAAATACACCTCGAAGATTACGAAAAGTTCAACAAATGGTCTTCAAACCTAAAGCCTTGTAACGATCCTCCAATCTCATGGGTACCATCAAGATGTTTGCATTTCTTTAACTGCGGCTGGATTGGTAGATAATTTTTCGTCTTCATCAGTGAGTAGATTGCTCATTTGGAATCTACAGAGCACGCGAGATTTCACCGCAAATGAACGAGCTATGGATTCGAACATTGTCCTTGTTTTCATAGGTAAGGCTTAAATGTGTGACTTTTAATACTCGTACGTGCGTTTCTTTGATAATCCCGATAATTAACTGCAGCTGAACACGTACAAATCAACTTTTATTCATGAGGGACCGATTCCAGAATTTTACAATTAAGGGAAAATTCTATTTAGACTTCGCACAATAACATGGATGCGAAATGAAAATTACACAAGTGTGAAATTAAAATTGGATTGTCTCTAAGTCCTATGTGTTATCATTAAAACTACGAGGTATTAGTGATAGCATTGTTTTTCTTAATACGCCACTCTCTCAAACAAAATTAACCGTGACCTGAGAAGTACAGCACATATATCTGATGAATGCATTTTCCAATTATTCTAATGCATACATCAAAAGTTAAGTAGTCAGAGGAAATGAAGCAAGTACAGACAAAGACTTGAGCATTATACTAATGATCTTGTCATGATTATGACCCTGGTATATTGGTTTCCTTAGCAACTCCTTTATGTTTGTATAATCATTATGATGATAGTTATGCCAACAATGATTTTTAAAGCTGTGAAACTTGTGTATTAGTTAGATAATGATTTATTATTTACATTTTATTTTTCAGGAATTCATCTTGTTCTTCATGCATTTTGTGTCAGGGAAGGTAAGCTAGTTAAAATTTGAGTATTTTAGCTAAACTATAACAAACATGACTGATTTACATGAAAAGTCACAATCATGTTGACCAACTATTTTGGCAGGCTAACCCTTCCTTGCATTCACAGGCTCTTGCAAATTGCAGAAATTAATTATAAAGTGTGCACTTAATTACCCACTCTCTATGTAAACATCCTTGAAACAATCAAAGCTTCAGTTCAGATATGGACCTCTTCAGGACCAGAAAGCACTTCCTTTTTAGAGCTGAATTAATGAATTCAAGACCGTACAGTCAATATACGATAGCATGTGAAGTTGACATGATTTCCCAGTCTCTGCGGCAGAAGTTGGGTTATCATGTTGAGTTCAAGACCTCTGCATTGATAATTCATGATATCATGCTCAACCTCATCCAGTAATTGCTTATTATCATGTATAGCAATTGAAATGTGAAGCATGTACCAATAAACTCTCAATATTTGATTCACAATGTTCTCTAACTTCTAGCTGTAATGCATTTCCTCATAAACTGTTAAGAGAATTTGGTTTTGTATTAAAATTAAAAATCCTGCAACCAGTTATTGATTTTCTGCTCTCGTTAACTTTTTGGTGAAGCATATTAACTGCATGTTAATAACTTTTGAAGTGGAAGGATTATCAAAGGCAAAGCTTGGTGCTATGGCAGAGATTTGAAGGAAGGCTAAAAAAAGTTAAGATAACCCAGGGCAAATGTGAAATCTTATTTCAGATCTGAAAGTTTTTAAAGAAAATTCAGCATAGAAAAAAGGAAAGAGCATACTTTCTAAGAAAAGCTTATGAACAAATGGGTAAAGAAGCCTGGATTAAAATTTAACCCAAGGTTAGTACTAATTGGCTTATCAAACAACAAGGTCCAAAACGAGGAGGTTTGACGTAAAACTATCTCTTGTCAGGTGAAAAGCATGATAATATACCAGTGTATTTTAGTTTCTTTGAATGTACTTGGAAAAATACAAATTTAAGAATGAACATTTTACTCAACTTTTTTTTATTTAGTTTTAGGGGAATGTGGGGGTCACAGGGATAGTTCCTCAGGGACCATTGAATCTCCTAATTATCCAAATGGGTACCCTGTGGAACAGAACTGTATCTGGACTGTAGCTGTTGAAGGTTCGGTGAAAAACATTAAATTGTCATTCAGGTACGGTTGCACTGTTAATGCAGTAAATAATATGAATTATGAAAGGGATTTTTAACAGAAAAGAGGTTGAAGGGAATGTAAGTATATTTGTTTACTTTCAAAGAGTATGGTATATCAATAAGAATAGACAACAAGCCTTGTCAGTTGCTCCGGAAGCTTTCACAGGCTACTTTTAAATGGTTGTGAATATATGGAAGTTATATATTTGAACTGCGGTTAAAAATGTGAATATGAAAGCGATCTTTGCAGTAATGAACACTACTTAAGTTGTGCCTTCTTTTCACTAATACTTAAGTAGTGGTTCATTACTGTGTAGATCGCTTTCATATTCATGCTACTTTTAAAATTTGTATCAACAAGATGCCTTGTAAAAGACATACACTGGTTTCAGAGAAATGTCAGTTATGCTTGTATCCCTGGACATAAAATAATGTATTTTGCAAAACCTTTCAATTTTTAATTTAGTGTAAACAACTGAGTAGAAAATGTAAATTAGCCATCATAGATGGGTAAAAAAGCTGACGTTTTGAGTGTTAGCCCTTCGTCAATCGCTCTGACAAAGGGCTAACACTCAAAATGTCAGCTTTTTTACCCTTTACGGTGGCTAATTTACATTTTCAACCCAATTGTTTACACTAAATTACCTGCTATACTCTCTCTTACCGACACAGCACCACAGTTTCTTTAGAAACTTACCCCTTTATTCATCTTTCAATTTTTATTTTCCATCATCCATGTTTGGGAACTTAGAGAGTTGATGTGATTTAATAGCCTTCAAAGGTAATGGCAAATGGATTATTGTTTTCTGGTTAATTCTTTTGTTAACCCTTTAGCCCCCAAGAGTGACTAGCATCTAATTTCACCTCACAATATCACCCCTGAATCAAACATGAAAGTTATGAGAATAGAGGAGATGATCACCAACTAAAGCAGCTCTTGACTGTGAAACCAATTCTCCTTACCAGCCTCTTTGGAAATGTATGGAGAACAGTAAGGAGAATATGCATACTGATGTTAGGGTGTAAAGGATTAAATCAATTCAGTCCTAAGCTAACTTGAAGATGTTCCTTCTTGGGCAGTTCTTTTGACCTTCAGCCCAGATCTGCAGATGGGGAATGTACAGATTATGTTGCAGTTTTCCGTAAACAGTTGAAAAAGGAAGCAGGAGTTGTTCCTGAGGCAAGGATCTGTGGAAGCGCCCTACCAGACTCTATGCAGATAGAAGAGTCATCAATGACAGTGCAGTTTGTTTCTGACTCAATAACTGGTTTCTATTCAGGCTTTTCTCTCCATTATGAAACCAACTTCAAAGAGAGTAAGTTGTTATGAAGCTGTCTTGTGGTTTTATCTTGAAACTGTTAAAAAGCCATGGGCTGCCCTAAAGATACATGTATGAATAAATTCAATTCATAAGGTCTTGCAAGACCTTTAAATGCCCTCAATGATATTAATAATAATAATAATAATAATAGTAATAATAATAATAACTTTAATAATAACTATAATAATAATAATAATAATAATAACTTTATTTATATAGCGCTCGTATCCTCTGCTCTGGGAGATATGGGAGAAAGAGGAATCCTGAGAAATGCTGCAGTTCATATCAGTTTTGGACCAATTTCATGTAATTTTAACACATTACAGCACCATATATACCTTATAAGACCGGCATTTTGATGTGAAGTATGGCAGCATATTTTTACAAGTTGTGTTGTATTTTGATAAGCCTGTAGGATCCCCTTTGTTTGTGTTACTTATCAAGGTGGGGTAAATTACAACACTGTTGAAATTTGGGGCCCACTAAAATTGCTACATATTTGCTACCAGTCTATGCCAACTACTTTTAACTAAAGATAAGTAAAATTCATTGCCTTCTAGGTTCTTCTGTTTCCCAAGCCACTGCTGGCATTGTTGCTGCTGTCTTCTGTGCAATAGTCTTTATTGGAGTTGGTATGCTGCGCTGCATTATGTTAGGAGGATGCAACTGTGGTGGTAGAGATCTGAGAGACAATAATCATAACCAACAGGTGATTGGTCACAGTGAATCATATACATATCAAGGGGATTTTCCTCCTTCTTACAGCACAGGTATGTTCCACATCACTTAATTGCAACAGAGAAATACAACTCTGCTTTTTATCATTGAACTTGTCTAGCTCTCATTATCCACCATGCAAGGTTCAAGAAAAGACACAAAACTGTTGACAAGGAGGGCTGTTCGCAGCTTTTACCTTCTCATTTCTTTCTTTCATCATTTTGATGATAAAAATGTGAAAAAAAATTAATAAAAGAGTGGCATATTAAGTGTTTGATGAAAGTAGTGAAGTAACCACTGAGATGTTGAGGATGCAGCATTTGTTCTCATTTACTTTGATCACAGTTTAACACAGACAGAAAATAGTGACAGTCCAGGGGAATCTGGAAATCCTGTGTGATTTTGCATTTTCTCTGGGAGTATTAAATTTGTGAAGAGCTTCTCTCATTATTTCCTAAGATGTCAGCCAAACCACTCCTCTGAATCTCTTGGAAAGTTACCAACAATATTTATTTATAATAAATACATTTATTGTATTGAAGAAGAAGTAAGGCAAGCCTGAGGAAGTCTTTGTAAAAATCTTGTTAAATTTGTTTTTCTCTATTTTGATCAGTGGATACTGGGTTTTTTTCTGATGTTTGCATGGTTACTCCAAGATGCATGGATTTTCAAATGGAAATCTTAGGCTTTTGTTAGCACATAGTTTAGATAACTATGAATAGCCTGGATTTTCTGGAAAACTGGCTCCTTTAACATTTGTGTTAATTTTGTTATTGCATTGCTAGTCATGCATCATCCAGAGAGATATCCCACACCAGAATCCAGCCCCAGGGCACAGAACAGTAACGTACCACCACATCAGAACCTGAATGGAAGAACATTTTCTGTTGGATCAAGCAGCAGCTCTGATGAGGATGATGAGGATTTTCCTCCCCCACCCTACCCAGGCAATGTCACTCAAGGAGCTGATGGTGATGTTGATGTCGATGATGTAAATACAAATAATTCAACAGAAAATGGACCAAACACTGTTAACAATAATGATGAAATGAATACAAATATCACTGAAGAACACTCAAGTTATCCTGAAGCTACAACTGTTGATGTGGCTGATGAAGATACAAATAGTGCATCATGTGATGAACCCAACATTGTTAGCAATGATGATGAAGTGACTGTGAATTTGAATGAAGAGCAATCAAGGGAAGATGGTGTTAATTCTCATGAGGTTCCTCCTTCAGAGGTTGGAGTAGAGCAGAGTTCCTCGACAGCTGGAACTGAAGATATTGTGTTGGATGTAGACACAACAGCACACAGCAGCCAACAAGAAGGCAATAGAGAAAACTGTGAAACATCACAAACTGGTGAAATACTTGAAGAGATAGAAAGTTTTGTTTGAAAATGTTTGATCAACCTACTCCAAATTTGTGGCTTTTAATTTACTGGGCATTCCTCACATCTAAAATTTAGATGATAAAAGTTACTTAATCTTCCTTCAGTTTCTCTTAACACTTAGGGTACTTCACACTCCTTCATAAGGATAGTCCTATTCTTACTATTTAGATAGCAAAGAAGCCTCTAATCAACTAAGCCTTCACTTAAGTAATGGAAGATATACTTTTATATTTGAAAGCTCAACCCGAAAATTCTTTAGTTGTTGTCATAACTCAAAATATGAAGTCACTCTGAGTTGTCTTTTTATTATTTTTTTAAGCCTTTAGTCATAGCTCTTGGATTTATTTCATCAATGTCTATCCCTTTCAATGATGTACAGTAAAACTGAATGAACTTTTGATTTCATTCCACTTTGCAATTATCCCATTTCCTATGAATGGTGTCTTGGTTAGGAGTTTGTGTGGAACAACTTTAGAAAGTACATGGAATAAAATGCAGCAAATTTTCAAATTGTATTCTGCTCAAGAATCTTGACACGGAGATGTGCCAGTACATTTGAAAATTGTTCAAAGTAGGTTGATCCCTTGACTCCCAAGATCTGTATGTTAATTCTAGCCTATATGTGCTACACATTATCTTCTAAAGTAGTTATGAGAATTTGGTGTTCTTAGATCAAAAGAACAACTTCTACCTTATAAGTGTGAGTTTCTCACTAACTGTTTGCTAAGTACTGTTTGGTTATTACAGGGAGAAGTTATATGTTAATAATTTCTGGAAGTTCAAGAGTTTACCGCACACAGTAGGTAGGGAGAAGGAAGTCACGTACCATGCACAAAGAATGTTGTCGTGACAAACCTGCAAAGTTGCATTTAATGACAAACTTTAATATAGGTTTTGAAATTGGTAGAAATAGCTGTGAAATGTAGTATCCAGTGACAAAACAATTTAATTATGCACATTCATTTGAATAATTTGACATATTTATGCAAACGGTATTACTTGAGAGAATAAAATATACGATTTATTCTGCATAGCGCACTCAAAAAGGGAAGATCAGGGAACCTAAGAACCACAAAGAGAACCCTATTTCTACCTTTATTTACCTGTTCTATAGGTAAGCAATACAAAATTGTTAATATTTAATAGAGATGGCAATCAAAGCAAAATCTGTAGATCCATAGAAAAATGTATTGATATTTATAAAATGTATTTACCAGTACCATCAAGTGTGTTCATCTTATTTAATCTTGTCTGTTCACGGCTGTTTTATAACTCGCTTGCAAGGTTTTTTCTTTTGGAGAGAGGAGAATGGATCTTTTAGCGAACCATAAGAGATAAAATGGCAAAGAACATGAAAATGAGGACTCCCGTCTGAGTTATGTGACAGGAGCGTTTCGTTGGCTTAAGAACGCCTAGTAACAAATTCATTTTATCCATATCTATTCATTCTCCTTTGCAGCTTTTGTTCGGTCGCGTCATGCAACGAACTCACTTCCTGTGAGAGCGCTGTTGTGTGGAAAGACTGAACATCCAGCGCTATTTAAGGAGACTACCCTACGTGACTGCGTGTTCTTCCCACATCCCAAGTGGGCTATTACGCCGGTAAACCAAAAGAAATTGCAGTCTATTGCTTTTAAAAAATAAACTTACATTGTTTCAATTTTCTATTGGTTCACCGGTGTAAAAAACGATGGGGTTTTTTGGCCAATCGTGGCGCTCCTAGTCTCTCCGTTAATTCATAAAAGTTGTCATTCTCAGCTTGCAAAACTTGATCTTTTTGCATACCCTACGTAAACTTGACCGCTGTAGTTCTCTCGTACGGAACTCGTGCAGCATTGTTAGACATCAGAGATCAAAATCCTCACCGCAGACCATGCAAACCTAATCAGGTTCTTTCACAATGATCTGTGCAACAGTTTTGACCATATTTCAAAAGGCGAAAATGAATATTTATCAAATGTGGGGACTGATTAATGGACTTCTTGATTTGTTTGTCATTAATCTTAGCTTTTTACCTAACGTTTAAATGAAAGTTTCCATATAGTACCTATAGTAAATTCAAAATGAGAAATAAAAGATCACTGTTTTTGGTAACCCGCCTAGGTGGGGTAACCCGTCTGTCCAGGTTGGGTAACCCTGTCAGCCGGGGTGACAATTTGCCATGTAAACGTGTCGTGTAACACAACGCGTGACGCTTTCATGAATAAATAGATATGTGTCCGAGAATTAATCTTTCGTCTTTTTCGAGATGTGAGCTTGGGACTCAACTCCTTAATTGCAAGCGCAACAACAACCTCAAGAAACCTCACCCCTCACCCCTCTGTAAGATTGCATGTAAACGCGTTTTATTTTTCGACCACGGCAAGGCGGGTTACCTCACCTACCTGGGGTCCCCCACCTCCATGTAAACAGGCCCTTAATAACACCTTACTCTTTGTAAAATTTTTCTTGTTCAGTGCACCATTTCACGTGCGAGTGAAAGAATTCCAATCGTGAAGTATATAGAAATCCCAAGAGACACTCGAAGCAATTGTTAACGTTCATGGTACATGTGGCTCGTTGGTCTGTGGAAGCTTCCCGGCGAAAGTTAAGTTCAATTTCTTTTACTCCTCTTCGTTGATGAGGTATCTGCTTTAACTTTAATTCTCGCTTCGTTTTGCCATATTTCAATTTCCATATCTTATCTTGCTGCAGGCAACGACAGTGAGCTGTAAAAAAGCGGCAGAGTTCCAGGAACGAATGCAGACGAACAGAGGAATATCCTGAGGAACAGAAACCACGGTTCTCCTCTTTAATGAAATGGAGAAAAAGGTCACCACTGCCTTAGCGAGGATTCAAAACAAGGGCAATATTGTTGTTTCTGCTGGACAGCCATCCACCACTAAAGTCAACTAACTCAGATAAGTTAATTAATGGTTACTAAGCGTATGTCTTCATCATGTCTTGTAGCGGTACGAGGCAAGGAGTCATTTTTCAGCCTTCGCTTGCTTTATGAAGATTTTACATGGGTGACGACAAATTTTGCGAAAGTAAATTATTTTTTCACATTTTAGCGCTCCTAGTTTCGTGTTTTCACTACCTGTTCAATGAAACGAAACGAGGTCAGGCGGGGATACCGGTTGAATGGTTGGGGTGATGGTCATTGTTTTATGGTATATCGTATTCAGCTTGTCAAACACGACTTATCTGGATTATGCTTTTATTTTATAGTTCTGTAATTAAATCTAAGCTGTGTTATCTTTAGCAGTAATATTCATCTCCTAAGATTCTTTGGGTTAGCCAAGGAATGATCAATAAAGTTTGCTGGGATAGTAAATAGCTACGATTTAGTATGTTAATGCAGAAGTAATACAGTGGACAAAAAAGGAATAGAGCCCTTTAAGCCCTTTACACTGAAGCCTTGGCAAAGAGTATCTCCTCAGAGGTGAGCGGTCACTTCGCCCACGTGTCAACACACACACGTGTCCACGGTCAATTTGACTTACTTACTTAGTGCTCTCTTGTGCGCGAATCTCCACATAGCTAGCTAAATGTTACTTTACAGTAAAACCCACTACTAAAACGTAAAAAAATAGAAATAAAAAAAAATGGGAGAAAGAAACAGTGAAAACTAACTTGGAAATGTATTCATTCAAATTAAATTGTATTAACAAATTACATATTACTGGTAAAAGATGTGAAAAGATACAGGAGACATGATACTTCAGTAATGACAAGAGCAATGGTAATAAAGACAAAACAGTCGTTGTGACAATAATTCAAGTAAGGCTGATTATGACAGACACAATGATGATGATGATAATGATGATAATGATGATAATGCAACGATTATGATGACAACAAACGATTATACCAAATGGCTTACATTTCTTTTTTTCCACGTCCCTGCTCAACTCGTCAACACTGCTCCATTCCCCTACTTTTTGTCAGTCACTTGTCTGCATGTTTTGTCTCCTTGTCGACGTCTCAGGTCAGCTCTTCCTCATTTATGGTTAACTCGTCAACTTCTTTGGTCAACATGTCAACGCCTCTCATCAACTCGTCAACATCTTTGGTCAACTCGTCAACATCTTTGGTCAACTCGTCAACATCTTTGGTCAACTCGTCAACATCTTTGGTCAACTCGTCAACTTTCTTTTTCGATCACTCGTCCGCTTCCTTGGTCATCTCGCCAACTTTTATGGTCTACTAATCAACGGCTCTCGTCAATTCGTCTCCATCCTTGGTCACCTCGCCTTCATCTTTGGTCACCTTACCTCCATCTTTGGACCTTAAGTCGTCTTGCCTACATCTAAGTCACCTCGCCAACATCTTTGGTCACCTTGCGTACATCTTCGGTCAACTCTAACTTTTTGTGACAATTCATTGGCGTCTTTGATCAACTAGCCTTCACCTTAAGTAAACTCGCATCTACTTTTTAACCAGCCTATCTTAATGACTTGTTATGTTTCTTTTGATGTAAATAGTCTCTTAGGAAACAGCTAACGTCAGGGTCCATTTCAACACACCGCACCGATGACGCCTCAGTAAAATCTTCGGAAGAGCAACCATATTTCAATTTTTTTCAGAAAAAAATAGAATAAAATAACTGTAAGTAGCAAATAAACAACGACAAATTTGACGTTTACTTGACTTACTGTAGTTCCTTCCCTCTGGAAAGACTCTACAATGTTAGATCATTAAAATTTGAAAAACTAACAAATAATGGTAAAACAATCTCTCACTTACACACTGCGCCAAATTCATCATCTTAACTAATACTGTGAAGAAGATGAGTTGACCCGAACGTAGGTGCGTTGACACGTCGGTGAAGTGACGGTTTACCTGATGAGGGACTCTTTCACTGGCTTGATTAAAGTTTCAGACGGTCTTCTTCAATAAGCTGAAAATAAAAGTGTTTGGTAGACCCAAATTTGATGAGAGTTTTAGAACGTCGTGTTTGGGAAGCTGATGATGATTTAACTGTAAAATTAGACCCAGCCGGAGAGCTCTTTGGCCTCTGTTCTACCTCTTGAAGCGACGGAGTTTTAGTTTTTGTTTATTTGTTTTGAAATCACGGCCTTTTATAATTGTTTTTGTCGCTCTTGCAACCATAATAAGGATCAGCATGAAAAATTTCTTACCTCTTAAGTTAAAATTTATTAGAATTGCAAGCATGACTAAGATCGGTCCCATATAAGTTTGTACTAGTCGGCCTAAGTGATTTGTTCATTGCTTGACATCATAAACATGATTGTTGTTTTGTTTGTTTCATTTAGAAATGATCGTGACTCCAATACAAAGTAAGTGAAATCGCGCACAAGTTGTAATTCCAAGCACCTGGCAAATCCTCTTTTTTCTTACTAGGTAAGTCAGTAATACTTCGTCTCTCTGGTTAATTGAAGTAAACAGATGCCAAATTCAGAGATGAATATTCTGTTTTACGCTTTACTACTGTAGTGCTTCTTGATGGATTGTGCAACAACTTGCATCAAAGAAGTCGATCTTGTGGCGCAGTTGCTAAAAGAAGGTTCGAGGAAATTAATACACTTACGCCTTGCTGCCTGAGAAGTCCCAGAATCTGAAACAAAACTACGGCTCACTCAGCGTGATTAGGAAAATTTAGCTTCATTTTATTAAACAAAACACTTTGTTCAGATCTGTTCTTTAAAATTTGTTTTCATAGTGAACCCAGATGCCTGCAGAAAACTCAGCCGTTGGCTATCAGTGTGTTGCTAGATGTCTTGGCTGCAACCGAGTTAACTTTTGAAGCCATCCTTTCCTTCAGATAAGTACATTATGTAATTTTTTGTTACATTTTGGTATGTTCTGTCACACTTCACTGTTAGCAGTTCAGAGTGATCGCAATGTTATCTCCTTTCGATAAGATCGATTTATCGTTAATTAATATTCATTAACTGTCTCGAGAGATTATCAACATCCTTCTCATTCAGATTATATTCTTCTGCCAAAATTTTGGAGCAATTGATTTGATAAACACAAAGTACGATTTAAGCCACACGTGATATACTAAACATTAGTCCAAGACTTTACTTAAAGGGAAACTGCTCTCTCTTTTTTCTTTTTCCAGCTGCTATATCGTTGGTAATAATCTCACAGAAGGCAATCTCGGTGACTTTTGGAAATTCTTCAATGTTCCACCATTAGGAAATTTTTTTAGTTTTAAGTAGAAACTGATGTGTTTACCTGTACGTGTTCTATAGCCAACAACAGCTGTTTGAGTTTTCCAGCATGGGTCTAAACACCACAACAGACAGAGGCCTGTTTTGGGACCAGACAGTTTATTAATTGTATATATCCTACGTAAATAACACACTAAACTATAAAATAAAAAATATTGGACATACACACACTAAACTAGTTAATCAAGAGTAAATTACAAACACGAATGAGATTAAGATACAATCAAAACTGTCGATGATGTGGGTGGGAGGGAAACTAAAACTTTCTTAAAGCTGGAAATGAACTTGTTACTTGCTAGCTTGCTAGATTACTATAAGACGTGCACAGATACCTTGGCGGTAATGTACTAAAGTAATTTCGCAATTAGAACACGTTAGCATGGTGAATAGCCATTGGCTCAACTTGTATGCTGAACAAATTGCTCAATCTAAAGGAAATGGAAAATACTGATTTGCACCCTGCCTGTAATCGATGTCTGGATTCACACTGATAGAGATTAACATTCACAACACAACAGTAACTATTGCTGTCCTTTTAATTTTCTTCAATTTATGTTCGAAACAGATCGATTTGTCCTAAATTGTTAAAGGCGAGACAAATTTCGACAAAGGTGTGCCTAGTAGATTTTGCACAGCAAGGTTATCTTCGTAAATTGATAATATGTAGTTGTCCTCAATCAGTTTTGCTGGCATAAGTGTCGAATGATAATTAAAAAGTTGAAAATAACAGTTAATTTAAAAAAAGGAAAAAAATAGGATTGGATGGTATCTAATTATAAAGTCGGTCATATATTTTACATGCTAACGCGCCGTAGAGTCAAAGCAATTTTTTTATCCCTTTTTACATTATTACGTTCTTTTTTACTTTTTACTTGTGGTTCTAATTTTTTTTTATTTTTGCACGTGTCTCATTTATTTACTTATGTTTGCTTGCGTTTGAGGTCCATAGCTTAACATTTGCCGATGCTTGCGATCGTGCTTAGCGTTTTTCGCTGACTTTTGCCTACGTATAGAACTTGATATATTTACTAATGTTTGGTTCTATTTACAACTTTATGTATCAAGCTTTGTTTGCTTTCTTTTAAAACTTTGTATTTCTACTAATATGGGTGTAGTTGACAGCTGTTTGCTTATGTTTAATTTGCTACTAGTTTATGTACTTACAGATGTTTACTAGAAGTTAGTAGGCATGTGTTTTGGTGTTACACAGTTTGCCTTTTCTGTCTGATGTTTGCCTAACGTCATAGCATTTACCTGCGGTTGCATTTGTATATTGCTGTTTGCATTTTCTTGCTGATGTGTGATTCTTTTCTGGGTTCATGATTCATCGCTATCGATTGTTTTCTTGCGGTTTACATTTGTTTTGTTGCTTGCTTGGAGTTTGCAACTCTCGAGATTGTTATTTTTCTCGCGATGTGCCTTGCGTTTTTTTTGTTTGCTGAGCTTACGTTCTTTATTTGCAGCTTGCGTTTATTCACCGATTCTTGTTTGCGTTGCGCACTTAATTTCTATTTGCTTGTCTTTCACAAAAATTACTGGTGTTATCTTGCCTATAGAATTACTTTAATTAATTACTGTTGTTAGCTTGCAGTCTGTATTTATTCATAGTTGTTTCTTACAGTTTACATTTATCTATTGTTCTCTACTTCCGGTTTGCACAAATTATTTGACATTGTCAGATACTGGTTTACAGTTATTTGCTCTTTGGTTGATTACTTTCTGTTTACTTGTGCTTTTCATTTATTAGTTACTGTTGTTTACTTGTTGTTTTACTTGTTTGCCATTACTACCCATGTTTGCTTGCGTATAGAATTCTATGCATACTTGCGCTTCGCGTTTATTTTCTGATGTTTTCGTGCATATTGAGCTTCATCTATTTACTGCTGTATGCATGCTGCTTGCATGCGGTTCACATTTATTTACCAATGTTTTATTGCATATGTAGAACTTTATTTGCTTGCGGTTTGTTTTGTTTACTGTAATTAAGATACTCCGTGCAATGAACTCTTTCAGTGATATGATGCGAGCTTGAAATCTGCATAATTTAGTTTCTTGTCTTTTGTGTTTATTCGTTTATAGAGCTTATTTGCTCATTTTTTATCTCACCCTCTCACGTGTTGTATATTTAGGAATCATTTTAGTAAGTCTTCAACGGTAAACCGCTGTCTCTACTTTACAACAGTTTACACTATTACTGATGTACGCTCTCATGTGGATTTTAATATGTTGACTTATGTTTGTTTGATTGAGATAGAACTTTATCCATTAACAAATGTTGGCGTGCGGTTCGCATTCGTTTACGTATGTTTGTTTGCTTATAGAACCTAAAATATTGATTAATGTTTACTCAGTTGTGGTTTGCATCATTAAGTGACGTTTGCTTTCGGTGTGAATCCCTTTATATTGACTGATATTTGCTCAAGGGAGGCATTTACTGTTGTTTGCTTGCACATAGGACTTTAATAATGTTTTGTCTGATGTTTGCTTGCACTTCGCGATTATTTAAAGCTGTTTACCTCTACATAAGACTCTATCCATTGACTAGAGTTTGATTGCACTCTACATTATTTACTGTGGCTTTCCTATGTGCTTGCCACTAACTAATTTCTGTTTGCCGTTTGCATTTAGTTATTGTTGTTTGCATATATCTACTGCGGTCTTCTGAAATTTCACAGAACTATGACAAAGTTGCTTATTAAAGGAGTTTGATTCCTAGAAAAGTTTTTTTGATTTAAAGTTTTCTTTACATGTTGTAAAATTCTTGAGCAGAGGGGGATACCTTTCTATCCTTTAAACTGCGTTGTTATTGAGATGAAAAATTGACTTTAAAATAATTGGAATTTGCAGCTCAGTCTTTTTCTTCAATACAATATATGTAAAATAAACGCTAGGTAGTGCCAATTGTGTAATCAGTTTAGCTTAGATGATAGAACCTATCCATTGTGATCGGAACAAGCAATTTCAAAAGAGACAAGTAGCACTCTGAGCTGACGAGAACTCTGAGTCAAAGCGCAAACAAGGCACCAAACACAGGCAAAGGAAAATGAGAGAGTTACGATTGGTTTTATTTTGATGACTGCATTAAAAAGTGGCTAGAATTTCAAAATCATTCGAAAATCAAATCATTCGATCGAACGTTTCTCAGATGTAAACGAGATTTTTTCCAAATTTAGATTTGCAACGTATACAATTTAACATATCGTCGCCCCATAAGATCAATTCGCAACGCATAATTTAAGTTAGACAGTCAATCAACATCTTAATAATGTGAATTTGATCTAATAAACTGCTTCGTTTGATTATTTCGACAGATTCTCGATCAGCGCTGCGTTAGTCAACGATGAAAGGAACTTTCGATGGACACCATTAACATAACGTGCCACAGTTAATCAACAAAGCTTCCCTGAAAACTGATAACGGGACATACTCGCTGATAGTGGCTTATCCTGTAAACTATCGTTTTAAAAAAACTGTGTAAATAGTTCAAGCTTAAATTCTATAGCGAAGATATCTGCATCGAAAAAAAGAAACATTATTTTTACAAGAAACAACGGTGTAACTTCGCTCACTCAAACTATAAGGGGAATGTTTTCTTTTTAATACTAGAAGGATCAGTCAGCACATTACTTCAAGGGATAAGTGTTCAAGTTACAATAGGCCGGAATTTAGAACCACCTGACCGAATTGGAGTCGAATTAACAAAGTCATAGGACATTAATATCCTCAAGGCCAATATTCATCTGAAGTATAGCAAATGTTTTGGGCGAAATAAAGGCCAAGCCAAAAATAAGCCCAAAGCACCTTCCTTTTAATGAACATGTGCATTAATCATTGAACAAAATAAAAAAAAATATCCCGCACAACCTAATTAGGGTTTGTGCGAAACAACGTGTGTCATGAGCCTTATTCATTATTAAATTAAATTTTGCCAGATTCAATGTATAAAGTGTCGCTTCTATTTGATTCCTTTGCCCCGAAAAACGAGTCATTCCTCCCAATATGGAGCAAGGTCATTTTGTTTGTTGGGGAGTGTTAACATCAAGAGTTTGGGAGTGGAAGGCAAAACAGTTTTGAAGCACTAGCTAAGCAAAGTCCTAATACAAAATTTATGCCCAACAGCTAAAAAGCGGTTCATGAAATGAAGGGAGTATCAACAAGTATGATAAATGGTTTCGTCATCTTAAGTGTTTCGTATACAACTCTTTCCATAGACCGACCAACAAAACTGACTAATTATGTAATATGTACGTAACACGTGGCAAAAAAAGGCGAGACAACTTAAGAAAAGTACTTGATACACACACCATGGGATGATAACCGTACCAATCATGAAAAATTACAATTTTCTCGATTTTGATTGGTTTAAAACTCTTATTTTCCGCTAATTCACTTGCCAAGTCGTTATCGGACAGTTTGTTATCGAACAGTTTAATTAGCGAATTGCATTCAAAATTTTACTTTAAATAAACCAATCACATTCAAAGTTTTAGGTTAGGTTAGGTTTTAGGTCTCCAGTAAGATAGCTAATCTTAATTTCGCAGAAATTGCAATTTTTATGATTAATTGGTAATAAGACTTCGTTTCGTCCAAATCGGCCTCTAATCATACTGGTGATTATAAGAAATAAGACTCCCGCTGTGCAGTTGTCTCATTTCGTTCTTACTCGTATAATTAAAGACCGATTTCAACTCCACTCGGTCCTACTACCATTATAAAAAGGTTTCTTTTGAATAAAATAATAATAAACTTGGATTAATCCAACAAAAAAAGATTCTCAATTTTATGTAGTCCACCCCACAAAATTAATGAGGTCCATATACCTTAATTCAAAAAAATACTTCAAAAGATAACACAAAACGAAAAAAGACAAAACAAAGTTAAAATATTTCAAATAAAAACAAAGGAATTCAAAAAAAGGTTTCAACAACATCCCCATATTTTCATGTATATCCAGATGTTAACAACATCTGAAGAGGCGGAGCGGGTACCCCTCTCCAATCCCCTCCTTCAGCAGCCGGCAGGGGGAGGCGAGGCGGAGCGGGTTGAAATTTGAATAATAAGTAACGCAAATGAAGACACGGAGACGTTGTGTTTTGCATAGAGTGGTAAGTCTAGCGATACTTAATAAAGGGCTCCTATGTAACTGTGTTTTATTTTTGACGGAGCCCTTTTTTTTTTCTTACAGGTATATGTCAAGTGATTGAGATTTTAAGGTTAGTTATTTACGATTAACAAAGTTCTATGATACTGTGGCTTAAGGCTCTTGTTTCATTGTTAGAACGATGAACTGTTTCAGCGAGTTGAGATTTTTTCCTTAATTTCTTATTTCACACACGCGATTTGACGTTGTTTTGTGGAATCCCTTTTGCGACCTTTGACATCTATGCCGGTTTCCCCTGAGATTGCATACTCTGGATATTAGAATGGCACCTGTTGAAGATTCGAACGAATAAAGGTAAATCGATTGTAAAGCAGTCTTTAATGGTAATAGAGAAATGAACAATAATAATAGAGAAATAGACATGCACATCCTGCTTTCACAAGTTATGTTTAATAAAAATCTTCTTTGCACTTTCACTGTATATAATTGATATTTCTCGGTTTACTGTTCGGACGTTATTTTCTCATAACTTAAAATTTTTTAGAAAGACAATGCACAAAAATCTAAAACAAATCATCTTGTGACCAAAAAAAGCCCTGATAATCAAAGGAAAGTTAAACGACTTTTTGGATAAAGCATACATTTGTCGGGTTTACCTAGCAACTGCGTGCTAACCGAAAACAATTACGAATTTAGAAAAGCAAGGAAAAACAAGCCAAAAATTGTTTGAGACAAAAGCTTTATTCAAAGAGATACTAAATTTGCTATTTAGAAGTGTGTGTTCAAAATGATGAAAACAAAATCTTCTGTTGCATAATACTTTAAGGACATATCAATAAAATAATGTTTACCGGCCGGTGCAAAGAAAGGTACTAAAGTGGCGAGGTCCCACTTAAATCAGCAAATTCAATTTTCATTTTCGAGCCATAATTCATATCGCGTTTGGGAATAGTAGTGTTGTAACTCAAAAGTTCTTTCCAGCTCTTGTAAAATCTTTATTGCTTTTTAAAACGAGTATCCTTCTAGGGGGAAGGGAAAAATTGTCTTGAAAGTATCAAAACTCGCCGCCAAACTGGAGGTGAACTTTGCAGTCAATTGAGGAAGGAAATTGATAATTTCGAGCCATTTGTTTGCTGACGTCATAAGCGTTCCCAATTAAAGAAATAGGAAACGCGCCGAGTGCATTGTTGAGTAATTTCGTGCGCACTTATAAAACTCAGCAATGCACTCGGCGCGTTTTTATTTCATTTATAAAATGTATCGTGAATTGCGCGCGCTCGTACCGATGACGTAGGCTGCGTGCATTATATCTCAACAGTGCACTCGTGTTAGGTAAGGCGCGTGCTTTATGGAAATATGATGAACTCGTTCTGACCAATCACGGTGCGCGCATTTCTCTGAACATTTTATAAAAGATTCTAAAGCACGCGGGTGCAATTGAATTTACTTGCTATGTAATGAAAAGAGAGGAATGGTGTTATTTGTTTTGTTTATTGTAATGATAAAACATTACATGGCTTTTCACGTTCAGTCCAAGCTCCCTGTTAAATTGTTGGCCAGAATTCGGCTTCAAGATTCTCTCTATTTTTACAACAGCGCCTTGCCCAATGGAAATGACAATTTTATCAGACAGATAGTCCAGCATCAATATCAGCTAAAATTCAGTTTTCTTCCGTTATACTGAGCGTTCTTTGATAAGTAAAAAATACTTAAGGTGGAGAATCTTAAAATATTTGTTTTACGAATGAATAACAATCTCGAGGATTTCATATATGCAAATACTCTCACATGTTCAATATGTTTTGACAAGAGGTTTTGAAAGGTGCGTTTTCTGTACTAGTCCAATTTACAACTAATTGCCATAGTATTGAAAACCAGACGACTGATCTTAAAGATAGTTTTAGGGAAAGTTTACAATTTGTTAGGTTATTCCAATGGCATTACATTTGACTCGATGCAGTTAAATGTTGTTTTTCTCTTTCTTTCGAAAAAAATCTAAGACGTCCGTGATATCCAGCAGCAATTCTCCATTTCTTACTACCAAATTCATTCGTGTTTGAAAAATCAAGGTTCTTTATTCAGTTGAGTACGGAGCCCTTAGTAACACCTAAGCACTGAGTCTGCTGTAAACTCTATCTAACCTCATGATCGTACTACAGTGGAAAATTGAGCCCTGCGTCAATGCAGTGGCCTCTTTAACAAGTCAAAGTCCGAGCCAATTGCTTCAACCCTTTTACTCGCAAGATCTCATTAGTGATTCTCTTTACCGACTCCCATACAATTCTTATCATTTTAGTTCCGAGAATTTGATGATGGATCAACTGATAATTCCGTAATTGATATTTTTCTTCACGGTTCTCATCGCTCGTCTGCGTGATATTATACTGATATTGTTGGGCAAAGTTCTGTCTTGGTCACTCATGGGATTCAAAGGATTAAAGTGTACCTAGAAAGTATTCTTTAATTATTTTAAATTGCTCTTAGAATAAGTTAAAATGATCATAAAAAGAAAGATATCAATGAAACAAAAAAAAACTGTTATGCACTTATCTGTTGAGCTTGTTTCTAAGGAGTTGACTTGTACCAAAATCTAAGGCTCAGACTCTGTTATTCCACTGTGCATCCAAACAAATGTTTCCCGTCAAAATGCTCCGCGCTTTGTTCGACCCTAATAAACAAAGAGTAAAGTTAGTCATTTTCCTTCGCACAGGGGATTCAAATTAAACGGGTGCAAATCGTGTCGCATACCTTGAAATATAATGGATATTCGTCATTTAATGCAGACAAAAATGTTTTTACATGACATCCTGGCAAGCTGTCATGTTAGAAGGGCACGTTATATAGTCTTACGCGTTATTATCTGATGATCAATAAAATGTTTGGTAAACTTTGTAATATAGAACAATCTTGGTAACCAGGGACTAAAAATTCAAATTACAAAGTGTTCTCTGTCAACTCAATTTTTGTTTCCAGGCCTTTTGGAAGCTCTTGATGTGAAATAATTTTGTGTTTCGAGCAAAATTTAACATGAAAGGCAATTTAATTTTCCTGATACTCGGGATGTAATAAAAAAATTCAGTTCATTTTAAAATTATTATCCAACTGTTTCAGATATTATGGTGCATAGAATTGGTTTTGAAATAGCGACTTACAAATCCATGGCGCCATATGGAGTTTGATATTTTCAAAATAAATACAGTTTATATCGTTTAAATAGTTAAATTTGGTATCTTTGATTTAATTGAAATTTCACCTAATTTAAAGTCGAAGGGCCTTGAAAGAATATGCGATTGAGTGAATTTTACGAATTTTGGTGACAATGAGGAACTGGCGCCTTATTCCTTGATATGTTTTCTATCCTCTGGGAGGTGGAAGATTTTTGGGGGATCACGTGGTTTTCAGGGGTAATGGAGGGGGATGAGTCACTGCCAACAGAGGGGTGGGGTACTATAGAAGATTGACCGCCAAATAACTGCCAGTGAGTGGAGAGTGGGGCTTGGGCTTGTAACAATATTAC